CTCTCCCAAGGATGGATCATTCCCAGTGCCTTGTGACTATATACGCCTTGGTGGTTCTGCTGGGTCTCCGGCTGGAGCAGGGCGCCTGCCAGCACTATCTGCACATCCGACCGGCTCCCAGCGACAACTTGCCCTTGGTGGATCTAATCGAGCACCCGGACCCTATCTTTGACCCCAAGGAAAAGGATCTTAACGAGACCTTGCTAAGGAACCTCATGGGCGGACACTTCGACCCTAACTTTATGGCTATTTCCCTGCCCGAGGACCGGCTCGGAGTGGACGATCTGGCTGAGCTGGACCTGCTGCTCAGGCAGAGACCCTCGGGAGCGATGCCCAGCGAAATCAAAGGGCTGGAGTTCTACGAGGGGCTGCAGCCGGGCAAGAAGCACAGGCTGAGCAAGAAGCTGCGCAGGAAGCTGCAGATGTGGCTCTGGTCCCAGACCTTCTGCCCCGTCCTATACACGTGGAACGATCTCGGCAGCCGCTTTTGGCCCCGGTATGTCAAAGTGGGCAGCTGCTACAGTAAAAGGTCTTGTTCAGTCCCCGAAGGCATGGTTTGCAAACCTGCCAAGTCCGTGCATTTAACGATCCTGAGGTGGAGGTGCCAGCGCCGGGGAGGGCAGAGGTGCACGTGGATACCCATCCAGTACCCCATCATTTCGGAGTGCAAGTGCTCCTGCTAGGGCTGGCGCTCACCTCGCCCTTCCAGCGGACTCACGTGGACCTTTACTGCCACGGAAATAAGACATTTGCTTTCTGGTTAACGTTGTAATGCACTGTAACGTGTAGGAGAATGTGTATTGTGTGTATATATGGCACCGGTTTAATATACTATTAAAAGGTCAGTATTATACGTGAAGTAATCAGCGTCTACTGTATTTTTAAGACTATTACCCTGATCGTTGCTAATGTATCTTATTTTTATTTTTTTGGTATTTATATTCCAGAGAGAAGTTGCTTTGCTTTGGCGAAGTAAGTTTTTTGTTGGGTGTTGTTTTTTTTTTTAATAAAAGGATTTAAAAATGCAAACCAAACTTTTTGATAAGAAAACGTTTTAAAGCTATTTTCCATTATTCGGAAAGCGTGCGTGTGATGTTTTCTTTCTTTTTTTCCTTACGGACTTTAGATTTAAAATAAAAATGAATAAACGCCTAGAGCACAATGTTACTGTAAATAGAGAGAACAGTTTGAAAGACTTAATCCTATGTAAATGAAGAGTATCTGCTATTTATTCTTTATATCCTTGTAGTAAAAGTGCAGTGCAGAATTAAAGTCAACCACTAAAACAGGAGCCGTGTGGACGCTGTTTGCTGTCCGGTTTGCGGCCGTGGCGGGGGTTGTGTCTGGCTCCGCTGGTCCTGGGCGCCGGGCAGGGCGTTCGGCGGT